TGCACACATTGGATGAATATGCCAGACTAGACATTATAAAGGTTTCCCCCAGAAGCACATATAAAACGCACACATTGGAGGAATGAAAATACCAGACATTTGAGGAATGAAAATACCAGACTAGACATTATAACTCCCCCCCCCCAGAAGCACATATAAAATGCACACATTGGATGAATGAATGAATGGTAGACATTATAACATTCTCAATCTTTGGTTTTCTGTGATGTGTTTTGTGTACTGTTGTTTGTCTGTTTGTCTTTTTGAGCCATGGCGTTGTCGGTTTATTTTCGACTTATGAGTTTGAATGTCCCTTTGGTATCCTTCGCCTCTCTTTTTCCACCAGAACAAATTTAAAATGCACACACTGGATGAACGACAATACCAGACTAGACATTATAATATTCTCAGTCTTTGGTTTTTTGTGTTGTGTTTTGTGTTATGTTGTTTGTCTGTTCGCCTGTTTTAGCCATGGCGTTTTCAATTTATTTTCGACTTATGAGTTTGAATGTCCCTTTGATATCCTTCGCCTCTCTTTTTCCACCAGAAACAAATTTAAAATGCACACACTGGATGAACGACAATACCAGACTAGACATTATAACAATTCCCCCCAAGAAACATATAAAATGCACACTATTGATGTAACAGTTGATATAAAACATGATAGAGATTTTCCAGCGTTACATAACTATACATCATATATCGTCAAGAGACTTCTGTTTTCCTTTAAAGGAATTGTTACTCATCAATTGTTTTCAATATCAGTTGTACCGTTTTAACGGCCTTGTACTGACTTGATGACACATTTATAACGATCTACAGCTATCATTCTTTCTACAGGCAAGCACGTAACTATTCGTGTCAATGCTTGATTACATAAAGAGGTTAAAAGTTACATGGGAAAGAGGACAGCCACCGTAGTGCAAAATATTACAGAATAAGAAACCATCAGCTTGCAAAGAACATAACAAGAGTAAGAAGGTTTATTTACGATCTCAGTTTACTTGGAATCCCAGGATATCATGCATCCATGTGTACCGCGCAAGAATATATCACAATGATATCGACATAGTGTTTACATAGGACTATGGTTACGAAAGTAGTTTCGGCTACATTGTACCAAGGGGAAAAATTAATGGACTTATCCGATTCAATTAATTGTAGATATGTAAATCATATGCAAATCATGTAAAATATTCTAAGTCTGGTTGTTCTGTTGGTTAAACTTTTATAAAATATTATTAACACATAGCTGAGAGGACAATAGAGAAGACTGGTATTCGACCTAGAAAAACAGCCAACCAGTAAAGGCGAAGCGGGGTAACATCTGTTTAATCGCCCTCTCAGTTCTGTGTTTTCTAATTAATTAAACTAAATGTGCTATTATTTTTGTATCTAAAATAATTTATTTTTGATTTGCCAGTTTTTTATATGTTAATATCAGAGGTTGCATTAAAATATGTTGACTGCTGAGACATGTGTTAAGAGTATGATGTTACCCTCGTGTTCACCAGTGATAACTGCATGGTATTTTAAGAAGAAGTATAATTCAAAAGTAACAATATACCGAATCACATTTGATGCAACAATTACATGTTGCGGAAGTTTTCTCAACTTAAATCTTTAATTTGGATTTATTTGAATTGAAACAATAGTTGATTAAAAGCAAGTGCAAGTCAATATCTATAATATAGTGTACAAATAAGCTTAAAATTCTAAGCAAGTATTGTCAGTATTCACTGGACAAGATCTATAAATAACATTGTCTTACCCATCAAAAGAACTAATTAACTGACGAATTAATAGTCCAACCACGGCTGGTATTACACAAACAATTCATTGTCCTCTGTCCAGACGAGATATCAATATGTTTTCGACAATACGTCTTTAAAGTTCTTGGAGAAAGGTTTTTTCCTTCTAGCTAAAATATGAGAAAACCTTATTGTTGCTACCTTATAGCGCGTTTTGTTATCATATAATTGATTTCCTGTTCTAGTATCTATATTGTTCTATTTCAAATCTTCAGAGGATATATCAAATTGAATTACTAACTCGTGATTATGTTTAGTAATCACCTAGACAATAGTTACCCCAATAATAAAACCCATATTCTTTTACACATTGGTGTTCAATATTCTCTATATTTTTGCTAGATCAAAATTCGTTAGTATTAGAAATAAAAACAAAATTCCAATGAAATTTCATTTTGATGTACTTGTCAACAAAATAGAAAAACAAATGATATTGGGTATCTATCCATGACACAAAAGCAGTACATGCACAGCAAAAAAACACACGAAAAGCAAACGAACAGCGCTTTTATTGCTGTTCTTCATCTCAAAGATGCAGTGAGGCCTTCAACTCTGTCTTCAAAGTCTGTCTTTACTTTCTTTGTTATTTAGAGGATTTGATGTTGATGGTAGTTCTTTGGTAAATTGTGTTTATATAAAAATAAGAAGATGTGGTATGATTGCCAATGAGGCAACTCTCCACAAGAGACTAAATGACACAGAAATTAACAACTATAGGTCACCGTACGGCCTTCAACAATGAGTGAAACCCATACCGTATAGTCAGCTATAAAAGGCCCCGAAATGACAAATGTAAAACAATTCAAATTTGTTTTCAATTTTAGAGTCTGGACGATTTAGAACTCGGCTTTTTTTTATATACACTATTTTCTTTTCTTGAACACTGTATAAAAGAAATACATACGATACCAAAGGCACAATCAAAATTCACATATCTGTTTATTTCGAATAGAGGACCCATTATGGGGAAAATCAGTACAATAATTTTCGATAAAGATAATACAAAAGAAAAAAGAGCTCAAATATGGAATACAGAGTTACCTTTGTAATAATATAACCATATAAACCTTAATGTTCAGTGTTTGATGACCATTCACCGGAAGCAGCATCTTATCCATTATGAAATAAACATTTATTAGTTAAGTCGATCTCGTGGATGATGCAGATGAACAAGTATTATAGTAATACAAATGCAAGAGTCATCAAGGGCAGGTGCTTAAAGGACACTCAACCAAATCAACACAAATATGAATATTTAAGTCGAAGAAAAAGCGACATACCGTCGTAAAAACGAAACACGACGAAAAGAAAAATAAGAGTCTACAAAACGCTGCATATAATTTTAGAACTACACAACACTAACCCTACCAGAAAAGGGGTTATCTTAGGAGCTCTGGAAGAGTAAGACGATCCTGCTCAGCATATTGCATCCGTCGTGTGCTTCATGCACTGTAAAATGGTGTTTAGATTCAAAACTTAATTATAAACACATCTTTTGTGCACTTTTTTATACGCTTTGGTCTAGACATGTCTCAGTTAAACATGTTTAGGTTGACAATATGTTTAGAACTGTATTTAGCTTTTATTCCTAAACACTTTAAAATAAAAATAAAAAAACATCTAAAAGTGTTTACATTCAAGACATGTCTACATTTAATGTGCTAACTGAAAATTTGTTTATATATTAAACACAATCCTAAACACGTTTAGAACTAAACATGCAATACAAGTGCACATAAGATTTGCAAGCACGATTTTTACATTGCAATATCTACAAATTCTATGAAGTCTCGTTGGTAAATGTCACAATCTAGGAAAACTAGACAGGATTGTTGGTACGACATTTGGAATATATGAGTGGTCAAACAAGAACAGCTGATATGGTTTAGGGGTAGGGGTCTCATCTATGGTACAAATATTCATATTTTAACATTCACAAACTGGAGGGTATAAGATAAGATAAGATAAGATAAAATGAGATAAGATAAGATAAGATAAGATAAGATAAGATAAGATAAGATAAGATAAGATAAGATAAGATAAGATAAGATAAGATAAGATATATTTTATTACCAATTAAGGGCCCACAAGGGCCATATGAATGGTTCTTGGTGACTTTTTTATTTTCCTTTTCTTCACCCCATACAGTAATCATATTATGCATTTGTTCAAAAGTAGGATTCAATACATGTTTTAGAATTATGACCTGTCAGTGTCAGTGTTAACGATATATTCAAAAATTAAATTATATTCGTATATATGATCAGCAGAAAAAATAAAAAAGATCATTATTAGAACAAAATACTTTGTACTCATAAAACATACAGTGGTACCTGGCGAAATACCCTATTTATCAATCAATTCATCTTAATATGACAAACAAAAATGAACGGGTTGTAGGGTGGGATCTCAACCATTTTCGAAATATATTTTCAAATTCTTACTGGCGTAGAAGCCAGGGGCGAGGGGGCAATTACCAAAAAAAAATTGAAGATAAAGAAAAAAGAAAATGATAGAGGACAATGACTAACTTCTAGATTATTAGAGTACAGAAAATGTTATTTTTGTTTTGTTTAGTTTTTTTGCTTGTTATTTTCAAATGTTTGCCCTTTCTCCAACTTTTCAGTCTACCACTGGGGTCCCACCAGACAAACTAGAAAATATGTGGTTTAGGGGTGGGCATCTCAACCTTTTATAAGCTATTTAAACATTCTCAAATGACAGGGGTAGGGATGACTGCCCTATATATCATTCAACTCATTTGGAACACCTAGGTGGCCAGAGACCTTTTGACTCTTAAGTAGGTCATAGGAAACCATGATCATTATTGACGACCTCACATATATATCGCTTACTGTTTTTTAAATTATAACATTTAAACATGAAAATTCATGTTTTCCCAACGGGGTTCTTTAGCCGTAACCCCATATTTCTTTTGGTCCCTCAAAGTATTCCTTAATCGATCCCCAATGCACAAACATGTTACACTGAATACACAAATACTCGTGAAACTTTAACGCATATGTTCAGTATAGAACCTTATGTTCATCTAATCAGCGGTTTCCAAAAATGTTTATCAGCGAAAAACGGAATACGGAATAAATTCGTATCCGTTAGTCGGGAAAAAATATTACAATTTTTTAACCAACAGGTGATATGACAGGTAAGTTGTTTACAAAAAATACACACGTATTTAATGTAATATCTAGGTGTACCGTTGCACAAGTAAATATTTTTTTGATAGCGATATTGTTAATTACAAGAGCCAAGACAGTGGTAAGTTTTAATTAAAAAGGGGGCCATGGAAGTGCCCGGGAAACGTTTAAATGTTAAACAGCCTTTCATGTTACTTGTACTTAGAAGTATTATTCCAAACGTGCCACTAAATACAGAACAAATAATTAAGACACATAAAGACAAATTTCTTTTATATTAAAATTATTTGTATTCTTCTTTCAACTTGAAAATATGCATGCAGATATATACAAATGTAACATTTATGCAAAAATTAATTCAAACCTGAGACTACTATAGTGTTATTGTAATCTCATATCAGACACAACCAGACACATGGACATTTGTCCAAATAATTATAAAGCCAAAGAAAGAACAATTCACTAATTATATAAAGTCCAAACAAGACAACAAAAAAATATCTGTAGGCAAGTCATCCCGATTTAATGTGCTGAAAGAGCCCGATTATGCTGTTAAGAAAGTTATAGAAAGATCCCGTGTACTAAAGCAAATTTGGACAATTAACATCCGCGCGACGACACACATTTGTATCGAGTCAACAAAATTCTGAGAAATATAGCATGTAGACGACCACAACTGTCGGACTATACATGATTAATCGGTTGCAAGCTTGAGACTGGTACATTAAGTATTCATTTTGGGTTAGTTACACTACTTTATGAAGGTCTATTGCTTTCCCTATTAGTATTGCAATATCATGATACTCGTGGAAACAAGTAACCCGGCGACACATATAACCAAAAGACATCTAGAGGTCAACCAAAGGTCTTCGACGATATTCACATGTCTATGTTTTCTTAATGTCGTATTTTAGTAAAACGATGTCTATGTTATTTCAGAAGAATTCGTATTATGAAACAATTTAAGTGATGATATAGAGAACTGAGATGCCGAGTGCTCATAACTTGATGCTACATGTGAAAAGTTTAACATGTTTAATATAAAGAAAGATAAATCTATCACACTATCAGAACTATTGATCAACGATTGTTGATATTCTGTAATCTTTACACGAAATACAGTTCCAGGTGTAGTATTTTGCCTTAACCCATAGCAATTTAAATATGTGCGATATTTCCCTTATCTAGTTTGACATGTTTGAAACATTACCACGATTACTCATTTATTTAAACTAGTTACTCATTTAATTTCACCAAGTTACTCATTATTTATACTAATAACTCATTTATTAACACTAATTAGTCACTATTTAGACTAATTGCTCATATTTTTCTTTATTGCAGTGTTGATTGAGGAAACTTGTCCTCGCCCTATGTGCCATAAGGCATAGCAAGGATTAATTAAGTAAGTGTTGATTGAACCAGGAAGGAGATATATATATAGAAGAATTATACGCATGTTAACATGGTTAAGTGGTTCATTGGTACAGTTGGTTAACCGTTAACAGTCTTAGTGTCAGTATTCTACACCGTTAACTGTTACAAGAGCCACACATTAACTGCAGTAGCTCTTACAATGAGAAATGTTGAGGCGGATTTTTCGTTGTCGCATGAGCTGTTTAACAGCCCTTCTAACCATTAACGTCATCGTAGTTACTATACTCATACTGCTACAGTCAGGTTTTTTAAGGAGCCTCTCTGATTCTATGGATAAACCCAGAGAGCTACCAAATGAAGACAAACGCCCAGAAGGAGAACCAAAGTTTAAGTATAACGAGGAAATAGTTGGAGTTCCTCTTAGTTATGACGATATCGAAGAGAATCGTGTGAAACAAGCAGGCGGTATCGATACAAACAGATATGACCCTGCAAAACCTATTGATTTTATTCCACCAGTGCCAAAATTCTCTGTTTCTGATATTGTTTACCGGTTGTCAGATAGAATACGACATAAAAATCTAGAGCTTGACCAAACTATATATTCTTATAAGATACTGATATTAACACCGTTGCATAATAGCGAGAAGACGTTGTTTAGATTTGCACGCGAGATCCGCGAACTGCAATATGCCCATGAATTGATATCGATAGCGTTTGGCGAGGACGGTAGTACGGACGGAACAGTAGAGGAAGCTAAACTTATCATAGAGGAGTTGAAGACGTCTGGGTTTCGTAACATAAGTTTTTACCATTTTGACATTGGTCAACAAGTAAGTGGGGACTGGGAGGATATTCATCAGAGAATTCAACAATATAAACGAAGACAACATTTAGCTAGAGCTAGGAATTTATTGTTAAAAAACGCTTTATCCGACGAAGACTATGTGTTATGGATAGACAGCGATATAGGAGATTTACCTGAAGATATAATACAACACTTGTTATTCGCCAAGAAAGATATCGTCACGCCCTCGTGCTTAATTAAACAAGGACTAACTGTCAGAAATTATGACAAAAACATATGGAGAGAAACGCCCCTTTCTCTAGAGAATCAAAAACACATGCGCGCTAATTATCTGGTAATCGAAGGGTATGGTTCAACGTCTCGGATATACTTACCCGATCTGCGTGGAGAAGGGCGTATTGTGCCCCTAGATGGCGTTGGTGGTTGCACTCTTCTGATACGAGCAAAGTGTCATAGGGAAGGTTTAGATTTTCCAGAAACTCTGTTTGACCACCATATTGAAACAGAAGGTTTAGCTAAAAAGGCAAAGACAATGGGATATTCCGTTTATGGCATGCCATTTGTAGAAGTGTTTCATTTTTAAATTAAAGGTTTTAACACAATAAAATTGCATATCGAATTGCTCTTTAAGTTCTCTTCTCTTTGATTCCTATACATAACTTCCCATTACTAAGCCTCTTCTCTTTGATTCATATACATAACTTCCCATTACTAAGCCAAACATTTACGAGCTGGTGCTTACTTTATATTCAATGTATCAGTGGAGTCAGTGGAACATTACAATACTCACACTGAATTTGACCCTGTGTGTCGATCTGAATTAAATGATTGATGCTATCGAAAAAACATATTTCACATTGAACTCTATGAGGGAAACGTAAACAGCTTTTCGAAAGCCAGATCACTTACTTGCTCAGATGACGCTATGATGGTCTTCAGTTTAAACATATTTTATTTGCTAAATATCAGCAAAATGGATCAGACACAAGTAAATCATACTTATGAATTCTTCTCCGTATTACAATATAAGTATATATACAATAATAACATTATGAGCATGCATGTAAAGTGAACAAATTCATAAGATATTCGAACTATAAATAAAAAGAAGAAAAGAAAGGAAAAAGAAGCAAATCTTATTTTTCTGTGATGATGACTAAGGTTTTGATGATGATCGTCCGTGCCAGTAGCAATAAAACTTTATGAAGGTACTATATAGAAATCTGTTAGACCTTTTAATAAAATCTTGAACATGTTTGAAAATTATGATGGTCTTTCATAAATGTTTTGTCAATCTGACATCAACTACATGATCGATACACTGGAACAAAGTGTAAAGAAAATCTCTATAGTAGAATACTTGTAAACAACTTTTCGTAACTGTTTTGCAATACATATACATTCATAGTGAATGGAATTCTATGCGACTGTCATACAAGTGAGACGTTTAGCTAGTTATAAACCGGGTTTAACCCACCATTTTCTACATGAAGAAATGCCTGTACCAAGTCAGGAATATGACAAGTTCATTCGTTTAATGTGTTTAAGCTTTTGATTTTGCTACTTGATAAAGGACTTTCCGTTTTGAATTTTCCTTGGAGTTCGATATTTTAGTAATTTTACCTTTTCTCTAAAAATAAGTAATATGTGGTCACAACTTTAAAAGCAGAGTGTTTGTGAGCATTACTTATTTTTTTCTTGAAATTTGTTGAGTCACGTAAAATATTGTAAAAAGACTTAAACGGTCCCTATAGAAACCCACCCGCTCTTTTTTAAACATTTCTGGGAATGAACAGAAAATTTATAAATTTCCAACACTTTTTTTAATTGAAAAGGAGAGAAAAAAAACAATTTCCCTATAGAGGTTGTATACGTGAAAGAAATAAACAGTGAAGATCCTTGCCTATCTCCTATTTCCACCTCACCAACTAGATAATGAGCGTTATCTTCCTAATCTGAAGCAGGTATTTCATTTGAAGATTACAAGTTATAGAAATATTATCAGATTTCAAGAAGGTCCTGAACACACACGGAGCAGGATCTGCTGACACTTCCGAGCACCTGAGATCGCCCAACTTTTGGGAAGGGTTTGTATTGCTCAGTCTCTAGTATTCGTTATAGTGTTTTGTGGACTTTGCTGGGTTTTTTTCGTTGTCTTTCGTCTTTTTGCCATGACGTTGCCAGTTTCTCTTTGAATTATGAGTTCTAAATATCTCCTTGGTATCTTCCGCCTCTTTTTTTATAGGGGCATTATGTTTTTTCGGTCTGTTCGTCCGTTCGCCCGTTCGTTCGTCCGTCTGTCCCGCTTCAGATTAAAGTTTTTGGTCAAGGTAGTTTTTGATGAAGTTGAAGTCCAATCAACTTGAAACTTAGTACGCATGTTCCCTATGATATGAACTTTCTAATTTTAATGCCAAATTAGAGTTTTGACCCCAATTTCACGGTCCACTGAACATAGAAAATGTTAGTGCGAGTGGGGCAACCGTGTACTATGGACACATTCTTGTTGGCACGAAAATCATGTAGCTCTATCAGAACTCCACCCACCAAAAGATAGGAATAATGCTTTATTGAAATATGTTTAAGTATTACAGATGTTGTCTTCTCATATCTGAGTGGCGTCAGTCACGATGATATGAGACGAGTTCACCTTATTTTCACAGAAGCAATCTAATTAATATACATATATATATTTCTGATTTCGTTATATACTCATATCGACTGAGTTACGATTAATCGATATTTTAATTAGATTGTCATAGAAGTAATAAATAATTATCTTATCCTTTCTCTTGTTCTAAAAAGAGCAATTAGTTTTGTTAAAACAGGAGTAGTGTCATTGTCTAAAATTTTATAGAGGCAGTAACACTTTCAGAAGATGTTTTATTTATAGTTGATTCGGAATGAAATCTTACTTGTGTCTATTTTTCTGTCATCAAATTGATACTTTATCACTGCTTTTGTATGGCTACATGAATCGCTGTACTATTTTGTCTTTTTCTGATTTAATGCCAAAATCTGAACTTTTTTCTGATAAATGATAACACTTCTATATATAGCTATGTAGTTACGAAAAGGAATGCATTATTTTACCATACTTTCACTTTTATCGCTAATGGATGATTGATGTTGGTTGATGGAAAAATTCATTCGAAGAAAATAAAACAACAAGTAAACCTTAACATCATCAGTAAAAACAATATTTTACTTATGATTAAATGGAATTTTTGATATTAATGATATGTTAGTTTTCATGTTTTTTTCTTCCTGTGTTTTCATCGGAAGAAGGGATTGAGGTGTTCCTCGGTGACACGTTAAAAAAAAGATCCTACTAAATATGTGACAAGAGTTTTAAGTGGCAATTAACATTCTCTTTCTATTCTGGCTTTTTTCATAACTTTAATACATAATGTTTTCGTATTTAATGCATGTAATATATTTGCTCCTGGACGTTCTCTTTTTAAAATAAACAATATATAAACAAATACACACTTCATTGACGGTATCATCACAGTCGGTGATTTTTATAGTAAAAAGTAATTTATAAACCGGTAACGATCACGTTCATTGGTGTTATTGTGGTAACACATATAAATAAAATGTGTCAGCGTTTGTCCTACAAAGCATCATAGGTCGACTAAGCGTATAAACTATGGACTGTAAAGATTACTTTTTATTGAGTGAGTTGAAACTTGTTTACTCCAAGCCAAATGATTTCATTAAATTTCAGGTAAGTTATTTTCTTAGTTTACTAATGTTTTACTGCTGATATTCTGCCCTTTCACTCACGTCAGTTTTGTGTGTGGGAGTTAACATAACAAAATGCTGAAGTCTTGAACCATATTTATTCACACAGTGAAACAAAATTATTCTGAAATGTATCACCTGGCGTCTTGCGCAATACTCTCAATGATTTGTAGCTTAGTTATCATATTTTTTATTATGAATCTGTAATATATTCTAAAAGATACTCAGCTGTAGATGTGGGATATGAACACTGTTTTATTTTAAGAAAATAATGTATTTCATCCACCTACAATCTATCGTTCCAAATGACGTACCTTCAATGTACTGTCAGATATAGGGCTGAATGCAGACTTTTTACCTGATAGAGCATAATGATCCATAATGTTGACCGGGGGGGGGGGGGGGGGGGACTGTTAGATCAGCCATACCCAAAGAATGTAACAAATCTACAGTGATAATTCATTCATTCACACACGTGTTAGCACATTTATCAGATTGAACACCACTCACCAAATTGGGAAAGGTCCCAAAATGAACAACAAGTATCTTTATGATGATGATGGTAATGATGAATGGCTGCTTAACGTCCAGCGGCAAATTAATATGCATATTCAGGACGAAAACATGTTAATGTAATATGAATATTAACCCTGCTATGTACTAGACCGACACGCTGAGCCGGACTTTAAACGTGCTAGTTCACAAGGTAACAGTCCGCAGGAAGACATGTCATCTTACCCATAGGCGGATCCAGGGGGGGGGGCCGGGCCCTCCCTTTCGTGGGAAAAATTTGGTTGATTATATAGGGAATCACTGAAGCATGACTGGAGCGGGCCCCCCCCTTAGGTCAGTCAGCGGCCCCCCTTATGAAAAGTTCTGGATCCGCCACTGTTACCCGGACATATTATTCTGACTCCGAGCCAACCAGTCTTTGTTCTTACTCCTTAATGCCGCGTGCTTAGAGGAGAAGCAGCAAATACCAATTTTTAAGTCTGGATTGACCCTGTCGGGGTTCGAACACGCGACCTCGCACACTCGAAGCGAACAAGCTACCACGAGACCACCGAGGCAGTTAACAAGTATCTTTAAATGAAGAATATTTTTCTAGTGTTGAAAAGCATTTTTAATCAAGATTTAATATAAACTTGAAATAGCATGCATTCATACAAAAATGTAACACATTTTAAAAAGATGAGTGGATCCAAAACTATTAGAATAAGAAGTTGAAGATTTTTCACTATATTTGAATACTTTGATTAGTTATTCTATAATGACTATCCATAATTTTTCCGATATAAGTGCATATTCCATACAAGACAACGGGGTTTCTAATTTTTACCCCAAAACGGGTACATTTGTCAACGTATATTTGTTCCGCATAACAGAAATTCCACTTGAAACTTTGTTACAAAGTATGCCATAATATCTGTTCCTGTTGGAACAAATATTATATAACCTTTAATCCGTAAGGAACAAATACTTTAATATTTGTTCCAGTGGAAATAATATTACAGAATTTTTCCCCTTGGAACTTATTTTATGAATGAACTTCTGTTTCGTGACACATCGTCAAGTCTATTTGAGCTTCCTTTAGGTTCATGTGGACCCTTTGGCTACAATGGCTGCGTTTTCACCTCAAAATGTACTCTGATCACAGACTAACCTGTGCATTTGGAAAAGTTTTAGGCATAGCATGCCCTAGATAAATAAAATTTAAATGCATTTGATGTTTTAGAAAAGTTAAAACTTAACTGGATTTTGCTGTGCACTTTTATCGTCCCTGCAGAAGATGATTAAATTAACGAACAGCTGAGTTTCACTTGATATGGTCCAATCATGTACATAGTTTAAATCACCAAGTATTGTCCCTCTATTGTCCATGTTAATTGATACAGTTCACCTAATTTAGGTGGGGGCAGTTCGAAAACCTCTTTCCCAACTTTGTTTATTTTGGCACCTTTTGGAGGAATGATTGAAAGATTATGTCTTCAGAATGCCTGAAGCAAAATTTGTAACTAAACGATGGATGAATTTTACCTATACGTATCGAGCGAGGATTCTCTTTCGCTTTTTGAAAATAATAACGGTAGTGCATTTAGGATTCAACTTCACAAAAGCTACATATTGGACGGAGAATGGGAATGTGCACTGCTAGAGTTAAAGTCCGTACCGAAATTTTTAATACCTACCTAGACGGGTCTTCTTTTACTCGGACATTGTGATCGACACGTACACACGGGAAATCGGCAGGGGTTTTAAACGAAGATATCGCGGACATCGTATGTAAAAAAACCAATTTACCTCAAAGTAACCAGAAACGAATTGTACCAAATCGAATTCGTCTTGAGGGATGATAATCTCAAAGTATGTCGCCCGAAGGATGACCACGTGTTTTGCTTGCTGCATTTTCGCAAGAAACCTTTAAGAGGATAATTGTATACACATGCAGATAAGGTGATGATGTTTCAGTGCAACCTATGTCGAAGCGTTAATGCTTGGCCACATGATCTTCGAAGACATATGAAAAACAAACATGCGCAGCAGCAGATCAAACCTCATTTCAATCTAAATTTTGTCATTATGAAATCACAATACAGCTTTTTCGCTCGCTTAGTTAAATCTGACCGAAAAAAAGGCGAAGAAAAGTTTTTTGCATGTCTCTTTAAACGATGTTAATTCATTCTCTGATCTTAATGTTGATTGGTAAACGCCCAGTAGCTGACACTCCCGACACATTTTCACCTAATCTATGAAAATATGTGTCTGAATCTAATACTTTGGCTTTAATGTTGTTCACACACACACACACACACACACACACACACACACACACACACACACACGGAATAAATGAAATAAAAAACATGATATAAGCAAAAGTTTTATTATGATCAATACTACATCAAAGCTGATTGATTTTGTACCAAAATATCAGAATGAAAATAACGCAATGAGTTTTCTGTATTTGGCATCCAGGTCGACCGATTCACTACATCTTCCATCTTGATACTCTGACATCTCATTTTCACGTAATAAGCGCAGTATAGTCCACATGTTTCCGAAAAGCCGGGTTGAATTTGACATCGAGAAAAACGGTACTGGGGTCCGTTAACGAAGAGAACATTTATAAAATGTTGCTGGTATGTCTCTGGTGCTCTTCCTAGGGAGTAAAAAAACTCGGGCGGTCCCGGTATAGGAAATGAAAGGCCACCCAATGAGTTCCTTCCTGGTTACAGTTGTCCGAGTAGGTTTTAGGTCTGTCACTCGCATAGGCTGGTAAGTCGTCTGCACAGCAAACGGTGGCCGATGTTCCCCTCAATATTCCCTCTAGTGCCACGCCAGACATTGGTAGGCGAATCGATTTCTTTTGACAATTATGGTCCTCTAAACCCTGATAGTGTGCAAAGACCAGTCCACAATCTCGACAAGCTATTAGGTCCTCTCTGTCATTCATTTTATCTGACGTTGTAATTTCAGTGTCGGAACTATCGTGGCCGTCCATTTCTTCAGAGGTGTCTACTCCATTGCCCGTCTGCAAGACATCAGTTCGCAGTCTTGACGATTCTGTTGTTCCGGGTTTTAGATCAACTAGAAGGAATCCGTAGGGTCTGCTCGTCGCCTCTTCATATTTCCATAGAAAGAAGTCCGACCTAGACGGATACATCTGTCTTCTTAGGCTCATGACGGGTTGTCGATCTATGGGATTGTTAAAGAGCACGAGGTAATGATAGTTTCGTCTCTGGGTAAGGTCCTTTCCAAAGTACAAGTTCTGATTTAAATCCACTACTGACATGTGATGACTGCCTTCCGTAAATAGATCGTCGATTCTTGAATCTTTAGCCGATGTGGACATCAGATCATCCAAAACGATCATATTCCTCTTCTTGGGATCGAAAATGTCGTCGCTTTCTAAATCGACAGGGATACCGCGAAAAAATTCCACTCTTGGACGCACTGTTTTCTGTATTTCTCCATAGAGTGGCTGCCATCTCTTGTACAACCAAACGATTCTTTATGGGCACGGATGGCAAATCCCCCTTACTCGTTGTAGCATGTTTTTTCATAAAATACGTCTTTTCGCACGAGGTCGGTCCAGATACAATCATGGTAAAAGGGTGATTAAAAACAAAATGTCGGTGCTGAGAAAATTCTTGCTCCTCTTTCAGAGGACGGTTATGCTGCTGCTGCTGCTGCCACCCAGAAAATTCGTATTCCTCTTTCAGAGGAAAGAACTGCTGCTGCTGAATTTAAATTTTCCAAATAGGGAAACATGCTCTTGTATTATGAACGTTACTACAATGCCGACGATGTGAGTCGTGTGTTACTAAAACATGATGTCAATTTAGGGGGGATGACGGTTTTCCATCCTGTTTGAGGGATGTGGTCACCTAATAAGGGTAAATGATATCTATGACTCATACATTGTGTGGTACCCTTATAAGCAAGACGACGTTACTTCTAGGCTGCGTCATCGGGCAATATCCGGTATGGACTTCCGGTGACGTCATCAGTGGGCGGGGAATGCCTCATATGGGTCCCTCCTGTCCTCCTTATGAGTTTACCTTGTATAAAACTGAACGCATCCTACTACTACTATTATTATTATTATTATTATTATTATTATTATTATTATTATTATTATTATTATCATAATTATTATTATTATTATTATTATTATTATTATTATTATTATTATTATTATTACAGTGCGGTTACCACAAGCTATACATAGTTTGGCGTATATTTTGGGCGTTGTACCATTTAGTTTGGATTATTTTGACTGGAGTTTATAGTTACCAATGGGCTGGAGATGACCCTGCACAACAGGTGAAATGGTTTATTTATTTAACAAACTGGGCATACTTTGTACTTACCTTTTCTACCACCATTGGCGCTGTATGTGTTGTATACATAGCTGTCAAAAGAGATGACATACTTCAAGGTAAGTTTGCTGATAGATTGTTGTGGGTGTTTTAATTCCTATTTCTACTTTCAATTTGACTATCAGATTCATTTTCAATCTTGTATTGTCTTATTAATGAGGGTGTGGATGGGGTTTACAGAATAGAGAATAATGGGCAAAACATGCAGAATAAAGGGCAAAAAAATACAGAATAGAGAATAATGGGCAAAACATACAGAATAGAGAATAATGGGCAAAACATACAGAATAGAGAATAATGGGGTGCTAAAACATACAGAATAGAGAATAATGGGGTGCTAAAATATAAAGAATAGAGAATTGAGAAAAATTACATAAAAAATTAAAGAATACAGAAATGAAGGACCCCCATCCAGACCCTCATTAATTGTAATTACTTCAGAATTCATTTGGTAAATAATCAGTCAATTTTTTTCGCTTTATTTTCATTGTTTCAGTATACGCCCCATTTTAAAAAATCTTGGATCCGCCAAAATCCTCAAAGGGACAACAGAAAGAATTCAGGATAGAACATTATTAATCATAAAATGAAGTTCTGTAATTCTCCATATTCTTTTTCAGGTGCATGTTCTGATATGCCATGGTATCTGAAAGTTGATTGGGTGTTTTTTAACGTTTCAAATTCAGTCAGTATTTTAGTAGCTATGATGTACTGGGGATTGATTTATTCAAGTAAGTAGTTCTATAGTTGATTTTCAACAGTCTCAACTTTTTGAGTCAGTTTTAAAATTTCGATTGTTTATATCGATCTCTGTCGAGAAGTTTTCCTACAAGATTCTTGATATAAACCTGTGGAGTCCATGTTGTCAGCCCTGGTATTTTCATACGCTTGTTGCTGTCCCATCTTCAGTTTTCTCTGTAGTCTTTTTTTGTGTTCAGTCTATTGTCTTTCTTTTTTTTATTTATCTTTATGCCATAGTATTGTCTTTCTTTCGATGCATAGATTTGTATAACCACTATCTTGTTAGCTTTTTTTATTATCTACTATCATGTGAATTTTCCAGCAACTTCAGTGGAAGAATATGTAGTAAAATTTCACAAGTAAACATTCTTTTATTACTTTTACATATTTTTCTCCAGTTCAAATATATCTAATTAGCCATTAATTAAATGTAGCTTGTTCGATATGTGAGCATAAATTCATCGTTTATGAACGCACTACAGGAAATGTCGAGATGCCGAGCAGCAATAAACTGACTTATTGTTGCTTTAATTAATGTCATAAATAGTTTGTTCAGGTATTTCAGTGGACTTTTGTGTTATCCGGTATCCCTTTTCCAATTCAGAGTCACGATTTAACTTATATATCATTCATTAACAAGTACAAAATACCTATATGAATTAATAAGTTATACTTTAAGGGGTACCATTTTTTTTTATTTCAGCAAGCTTATCAATATCAACAAAACAAGGATGAGGGGGTATTAATTCATTTGGTTGTAACTAAAAATATAATGTGGACCAATCAGGTTTTCAGATGAACTGAAGTACACTTTTGATATTAGTATCGTATTTTCCCATTGTTTTATTTCTATTTTCAGGTTCAAGCACAATAACAGCAGTAAACATAGAAACTCACGGATTAAATATGGTGTACGTTTTAGTCAATTTATTCCTGACTGGAATCCCTGTGCGTTTCTATCATCTCTTTCATCCAATGGTATTTGGTACAACCTATATTGTATTTTCTATTATATACGAGGTATCAGGAGGTACCAATGCTCAGAACAAATCCTATATTTATTCAACCTTTGACTGGAGCAATACTGGATTCACTTCCGGGTTGTCACTGATAACTGTACTAGTAGCAATTCCAGTTTGTCATATCATCTTATTTCTTCTGTACCTTTTAAGAATTTTTGTGAACAAAAAATTTTGTTTTCCGACAGAGATTCAAAACAAAGCTACATCTGTTGACAATAAATCCTTCAGCCCAGAAAATTACTTGGAACTTAAAGACAAAAATGAAGTAAAAATAGATATGGATACCCCATTGGCGAACAAGAAATCATGAGAATGACTTTACATAACTAGTTTGCACATGGTCATTACCATCATATTATAAATATCTAACATTTAGAAGAACGATTTAGTCAGTATTATTCAATGCACAAGTTTAGGATGAATTTATATTACAGTCGTCCAAAAAAGTTTTAATACATTGTAAATAATGCAATGAGCACAATAATGATGGGCCAAGCTAATGTGATTGTGTAGTTTTGACAAGATTGGTGTTTTAGGGGCATTATGTTTTTCGGTCTGTGCGTCCGTTCGTTCGTTCGTCCGTCCGTCCGTCTGTCCCGCTTTAGGTTAAAGTTTTTTTGTTAAAGTTTTTGTTCAAGGTAGTTTTTGATGAAGTTGAAGTCCAATCAAATTGAAACTTAGTAAACATGTTCCCTATGATATCATCTTTCTAATTTTAATGCCAAATTAGAGTTTTTACCCCAATTTCACGGTCCACTGAATATAAAAAATGATGGTGCGAGTGGGGCAACCGTGTACTATGGACACATTCTTGTTAATATATATTTTTTAATGTTTTTATTATTATTGTAAGCATATTGGAAATAATAAAAAGAAATTCACGGAGTTCTATACCAATGAAATGAAGGTCTGGATGGGGTTCTCCATTTCTGTATTCTTTAATTGTATATGCCATTTTTCTCTATTCTTCATAGTAATTGTAGCCCATTATTCTCTTTTCTTTATATCTAAACACCCAATTATAATCTATTCCGGCTTTATATCTTAACACCCCATTATAATCTATTCCGGCTTTATATCTTAACATCCCATTTTAATCTATTCCGGCTTTATTTTTCTCTATTTAGATTTTTGTTCCATTTTTCTGTAGATTTTGCCCATTGTTCTGCATTCTGTAAACCCCTTCTAGACTCTCATATTATGTTGATTTTATAGAAAGCAGACTACTAGCTGGGGTTTTTTATAATCAGAATTTTGTCATTGATATTTACAACAAATAACTTACTAGAAACTGATTACGCCTTCTACTTTGAAAATGCAATATGAATGTTTGAGCTAATTCTTTTTATCCGAATCATATTCTAGGGTTTCCTCACCAATTGAAAGCATCTACTTTGCCATTGCTTTATTGGGGAGGGGTATCAATTCTGTATCCGCAACTCCTCCTGAACTTCTTATTACAATTTATTGAAACTTTCTCACAATCTTAATATAATATGAAAATAAGAAGAGGTGGTATGATTACCAATGAGACAACTCTCCACCACAGACCAAATGACGTAGTAGAAGTTGACAACTATACTGCCTTCAACATTGAGCAAAACCCATACCGCATAGAAAGCTATGAGAGGCCCCGAAATGACAAATGTAAAACAATTCAAACGAGAAAAACTAACAGTCTGATTTAAGTACAAAACAATAAACGAAAAGCAAATATGATATACAACTACAAACGACAACCACTGAATTACAGGCTCCTGACTTGGGACAGGTGTAAAGCAAAATTATATCCGGGTGAAATTTGATCCGGAGGAAAAAATGTCACAGTAGTTGTTGTTGTTTTTTTATTCGGAGGAAAATATTCCCCTGGGATATTTTTTCCTTTGCTGTAAAATTCTATCTGGGTAGTTAACTTATTGAATAGTTATTAGAAAAAAACTTAACCTTTACAAATACTATGAAATAATAATAGTGTATTTGAATTAAAGCTAGATTGTTAAAAAATTGGAAAATAATTTTACAAATTATCATTGAAAAAATTTCCTGAAATATTCAAGTAAATATCATTCTTTTAAAAAGAAAATAATCATGAAACATAAGAAAGAAAACCAGAAGTAATTTCAAATATCGTAATTGTGAAATAATATCATGATTAAATAAGGTAAGTGAAATACATGTAAAAGTGAGTTGTTTTCAGATCTCAATACAAATATGTATTAGATACAATACAAAGGTAACAAAGAAACAGGCCGGTAACAACCGTTGTCGGATAGTTTTTCTGCACGAGTAGTCAGGTCAAGGTCCGAGGCGATAGCCGAGGACCTTGACCTGACTACAAGTGCAGACAAACTATACGGCAGGTTGTTTCCGGCCTGTTTTTTGTTACCTTTGTTTTGTATCTGACTTGTACGACGTTTCAAGAAGGAAGAAGTACACTTTGCATTTAGAAGCGGTAGCAAAACTAAAGATATTAGAAACTTATAAGGCCATATACCAGTTAATGTAAGTTACAGTTTAAACTCAATTTTTTTTCTCACTTCCATTCATGAAGCCGAGAGTTTTTTCTCAAAAAATTCAAGAATCTAATAACTTTATAAAAAGAACCATTTCAAGTTAAAGGTGAATGTTATACACATTTGAGACTTTTTAAAATGCAACTTCGCAAGTAAGTAATGTATAAAAAAGATTTCAGAGGTAAGCAAGCTACCATTTGATTTTAGTGGGGGGGGGGGGGTAAAATAAATTTAAAATAAACAGGCTTCATCCTTTTTTTTTGTTGAAAAAATGCAGGATGTGCCATGTCCATGTCTTGTTATTATATATATATATAGGCATATGTTTTGGATTAAAAAAAAAATGTTCATGCTTATAGGTTTTTATATGTCTCTGATAGTGTTGATCAGGATTAAACACGTGTCACTATATGATCCAATCAGAGCTTACCGTCCAAAATTGATGACATAAGTTGAATGATTTTCTTCACGATTTGCTGCATATTTGAACATGTATTACACGGACACTTTTTATTTATAGGATCAATCGTGCATTGGTGAGTTGATAGGGATTTTATCTTTTGATTAGATTTGATTTATATATATATATTTCCTGTATTTTTATTGAAATATAAACGTTGGTAACAGCATTTCTTTCAGCATTGTCCAGAATACTATTCATGTCCATATATTGAAAAAAAAATACATTTACGGACCGTCCATTTAGCTTCAAAAGGGGGTGTGTTCTTTTCTGAGTAAGAAAATTATTTAGTTTTTCAACGCTATCGCCCAAATATTTTTTTCTCGAAATCAGCACTATTATATAAGGTATTCGGAAAACCAGGAGTCAGAACATTATTTTCAGTGTCATCTTCTTGACCATTATATATTTTTTCTCATAAAATTGGGGATCAAAATGTGTGTTTTTTTTTAGGAAAAAACCATAACCGGCCTTTTGAAGTTAAATGGTCAACCCCTTAGTGTACTAATATGAAGAGTTACTGGAATTGTTTGAAAAAAAAATATAGTTATTGATGCTAACGTAAATATTTTTAATTAAAAAGACAGGAAATATGTCGGTGAAACAAAAAGTTCAAATCTAATTGAAATTTAAAGTGCCCATGAACTCACTGATCATGCACGAGTGATTCTATTCATAAAAAGTGTCCGTGTAACAACTAAAAAGTGTCCGTGTAACATCTAAAAAGTGTCCGTGTAACACCCGTTAATATACTGTTTTTCTATAGCTCTGCTGGGGGCAAAGTCGTACAAAAATTAAAAAGTAAAGGTCGAAATATAGTTGCATTACTACTGTTAACAGTAATGGAAGAATTTGAGTATGATGATATTTTTAACTATATAAATAGTTTTGTCTGGGGACAAAGATGTAGTTGTTGATTATATGGAAATCAGATAAATCATAGCATAACAATATATTGGAACAAAAGCAATTTCAACAGCTGGATAGTTTTTATCTGTGAAATGTTATCTTTCTTATTAAATCATGTTGTAAGTCATCTTTTTATATAAATGAATATATTAAAAATAAGATTCAAGGAAAAATTTCACTATGAAACAGATTCAGGAATATATTATATTAATATCTTTAAAATATAAATTGCTCATAATTACCTCCCTTTGATTGATAAATTATGCAAATTTGTTCTACCTTTGTGAAACATTTTATGATTATAGTCAGGTATATATTGATTGTGAGTAACTTCCATAGTAGTTAATGGGACTCTATTTCACAAGGTTCTGTGAAATATGATACGGAAAATATATCCCGGTACATACTATCTGCATAACACTGATAGATTTTCACTCCTCTGGAAAAAATCTACCTGTGAAATACCATGTCTGGAAAAAAATTACTGTGACAAATTATCCCCAGGATAAAATATCACAGAGGAAGAAATAAACCGTTACACAGGCACATACAGAATGTGGCGGGTTTAAACATATTTGCTAGTGTAAAATCCTCCCTTAACGTGGGACAATGGTGTAACGGTTTGACATAAGAAAATCCTTGTCCTTCTGTCTTTGGTGAAAAGTCGTCTCATTAACAATCATACTACGTCTACTTATTTTCAAATTCATACAGGAGCTTCTAAAAAAGAATAAAACACATTCATTATCATTCAACTTCATATACCGCTATATAGATTGAGCCAGGAGAGAACTACACTTTGTGACAAAAAAAATATGAATTTTGTGTTCCCTTTGTGAAGTTCACTATGGCAAGCCGTTCTCTTCAAAACTATGTTTAAACCATGTTTTCGAAAAAAATTACACACTGAGAATTAAAAAATTACACACTGAGAATTAAAATAATCACACTGAGATGTAAGAACCTAAAATAACACACTGAGAAATCGAAATTACACACTGAGATTTAAAAAAAATGAAAAACACACATTGAGAATCTAAAATTACACACTGGGATTTTAAAAAGACACACTGAGATAAAATAAATTAAAAAACACACACTGAAAATTGTTGATTACACAATGAGATTTCAAAAATACACACTGAGATTAATATGCATATTACTAATGAATATTCATGAGACGAATAATTCAACAGATTAATATCTTGGTCTCCCGAACTCTTGTCATTATAATGAAATGCGGCCTACAACCAACATTCGTAATAAATTTCAAGACTTAACAACTTTTTTTGCTAACTCATATTCACAAGTTTGTTGCCTATAATTCAGATTATTTCTTAAAGTATATCGGGATTTTTTGCTTAAAACTGTTAAAGCATGGTCCCTTTTAAAAAGTCTTTCAACTGTTACCCTGATTTCGCATGGTAATCTTTTATATTTTTGTTACGTATATATGCTATA